ATCAATAGTTACACAAATTAAAAATTGAAAAACAAAATTCACAAAACTAACAAGTAACAACTAACAAGCATCAATCAAAATCATCATTCATCATTCATAAATCAATCATCATTCACTCTAAATCATCATTCTAAATTTGTAATCAACTTAGATATTATATTCAAGTCAACCCCTCTGTTTTTGTTGTTTGTTTGTGTGTGGCCTGGCGTCGAGCTTCTGCCGAAGAAGAAGTTCTCGTTCAGGAACAGATTGGCCACCAAATCAGCAGCCTGGCGCCGAGCTTCTCCCGAGCTCCCAAAGCAACAATCGTCGGTCATCGTGATACGAGAGTCGCCGGGCCCCACGGTGGGTGACGGCGGGCGGCGCGGTGGGTGAAGGGGCGGCGACGACGATTGGAGAGAGGCGGCGACGACGATTGGAGGGAACGAAGGTGCGAGGAGACGATAAGGGAGGAGCTCAGGGGAGGGAGCAGGAGGAGGAGGTCGTCCGGGTGGCTGTGGGTTGTGGCTGCCGATTGGATCGGCCGAGATGATAGGGTGGAGGCGAGGCGGTGAGGGCGGAGGAACGCGGGGGATTCGTCGCCAACAAGTTGGCCGAGATGGGAGTGTGGAGGGGGCGGGCGCATGGGAGTCGTCGTCGCTGCTGAGAAGAAGACTGGGCGATGTGGGAGTGGGGCGGCTGCGGGAGGAATGAAGGCCAGGCTGGTAGGGTTGGGGTGTTTTAGGGATGGCAAAACGACGTCGTTTCAAGTCAGTCGGTTAGCATCGGTTAACTGGTTAATCGGCATCGATTTATCGCCTAACCACTAACCACCTCCGACAACCGAACGCCACTTGTTTTTTGGTTTCTGGTTAGCCGCTAACCGGCAGTTAACAGTTAGACCGGCCGGTTAGCCGCTAACCGGCAACCGAAATGACAGCCCTAGTGCAAACCAACTCGATCGACTAGGCCCAATCACAACCCACATCAATTGAGTCTCAAAGTCGGCCCACAATTTGACACGTTTATGTGTTCATTGTGCTGAACGATAATATATCATATGAAACTCTGTAGATTAACTTTATTTATTTCTTTATACTAGCTATCCTGTTGCCCTTTCTTTTACCCTCTGTTTCCGAAGGAAGGGAGGAAAGGGAGGGGAGGTGAAGGAAAATTAGGAGGGGAGGGGAGATTTGGAGGTGAAGGAAATTGGAAGGAAAATGGTGTTTTATGGAGGAAAGTGGGAAGGAAAATGTGTATTGGGAATTGTGATGGATATGTTATTTTATTAAGTATGTATTAATAAAATAATTTGATTATATGTTGATATTATTTTCATTGTTATGGATTGTAAATTAAATTTGTATTTTTATTACTAATTTTGTTCACTATTAAAAATCAAAAGTAGATGTCTTGATTTTTTTTTGTGAAAATTTTATTGTTAAAATTTTATTGATTCGTCACATAGCAACTAAAATGAAAACATACAACAAATCACACTAGCCCCTCCCTAACATTCATTCTATAAAAATTTACAATCTTAATTTGTTTTTACCAGGATCGTAACACGATTTTACATATCACGTAGCAGATTTATGTATTGCATAAAACAACGTTATACATGACGTAATCGCCCATATGGATCATACGACTTACAATACGATTTTAAGTACTCTAATTTTAATAATAATCACTTATCATTAATTATAATTATTTTACTGAAATTGACCGACAATTTTACTACTCCCGTTTACTTCTTATTAGTTATTACTTGCCATAATTTATTGCACCCTAATATACCCCTCATAATAATCACTTAAATAAGGGGGAAAGTATTGTTAATTGTAAATGAATATAGTTTGTGAGTATGGCAAAACGAATATAGTTTGTGACTTGTGAGGGTTGGTACAAAAAACGATCATCAAAATCCAGAAAATAAATAAAGGAGTAAAATTGGAATAGGTGAGTTTAAAGTGGGCAGCAGTGGGTACTAACAAAAAAAAAAGTGTTTTCCCCTCAAATCGGAGCACAGAAGTTATTCTGCTAACTGCTCAAAGTGTTAGCATATACTAACAGGGCAGGATGAAGGGCCACGTCGGCCCATGTTTGATCCAACGGAGGAGCTTCTCGGCGTGGTGGTGGCTCACTTAAGTGAGCTGAAGGTGGGCCAACAAGCAAAATCCGGCCCAGCGTGCGGCGGCAGCGGAGCTGAGCATGTGGCGTGGTGGGCCCGGCTTGATTTTGGGCGGGAGAATGGAGAGGAGTGGAAAGAGAACCAAATTTTATGGGCCCATGTTAGTATTATGTATGTGTTGTTTGTGTGGATATTTATTTGTTCTCAGTCGATATTAATTTATGTTATGTTGATATTGCTTTGTATCATTGTTGAAATTTTGGGCCGTATTATTCCTTTGCAAAACAATATCCATCATTAGACTAATGTTTAACGGCGGCCCAAAATCACCCAACCACCATAAACTGATTACACCAATTTAGAGATTTATTTTTTGGGTTTAGACTTCTGGTTTTCAATTTGTGAAAGATTGGAATATTGTGTCTTACATCAAATTAAACACACTATCTTGTCCTACACACTATCAAGTCCTAACACGTAAGGCTTGCAACCTTAGTTAGGGCTGCCCGCCGAGGGCCCATGGGCCGAAGGCCCATTAAATAATATTAGTTTTTATTGTTTATATTTATTTTTTAGGGTTGATTGTTTAGGTTTGGTTTATGGTTTACGGTTTACAGTATAAAGGTTAGGGTTAATGTTTCAACATAAGGGTATGGGTTCTCTTTAGGGTTTAAGATTTAGTCTGGTCAGTATTAATATCTATTCTTTCCTAATTATATTGTTTTTAGAGTTTATTTAGTAGTGTTCATTGTTTAGGGTTTAGGGTTCAGGGTTTAGGGTTTAGAGTTTAGGCTGATAGAGTTTATTTGAACCTGCGGATATTTAGCCGGGTTGTGCGGATATTTATTTGAACCTGAGGAAACATTCCCTTAGTTCATGTGTTTTATTTTTTTAGTGTTTAGTGATTAGGGTGATGGAGTTTAAAGTTTAGGGTTTAGGGTTAGTGTATAAATATTAGATATTAGTTTGTGTGTTGTGGATACTTGTTTTGGCTAGTTGTAATACTTGTTTCTGATATACAGATATTTTTTCAAAATATTATGATTTTTTTCCGGGTTGTGTGGATATTTATTTGAACCTGATGAAATATTCCCTTAGTTCATGTGTTTGGATATTTGTGTGAAACCTTTGAATATTCTCAGCTTGGGAAAACAATAATAGTTTTATTTTTTTAGTGTTTAGTGATTAGGGTGATAGAGTTTAAAGTTTAGGGTTTAGGGTTAGTGTACAAATATTAGATATTAGTTTGTGTGTTGTGGATACTTGTTTTGGCTAGTTGTAATACTTGTTTCTGATATACAGATATTTTTCAAAATATTATGATTTTTTTCCGGGTTGTGTGGATATTTATTTGAACCTGATGAAATATTCCCTTAGTTCATGTGTTTGGATATTTGTGTGAAACCTTTGAATATTCTCAGCTTGAAAAAACAATAATAGTGTTATTTTTTTAGTGTTTAGTGATTAGGGTGATAGAGTTTAAAATTTAGGGTTTAGGGTTTCGGGTTTAGGGTTAGTGTACAAATATAAGATATTAGTTTGTGTGTTGTGGATACTTGTTTTGACTAGTTGTAATACTTGTTTATGATATACAGATATTGTTTCAAAATATTATGATTTTTTTCCGGGTTGTGTGGATATTTATTTGAACTTGATGAAATATTCCCTTAGTTCATGTGTTTGGATATTTGTGTGAAACCTTTGAATATTCTCAGCTTGGGAAAACAATAATAGTTTTATTTTTTTAGTGTTTAGTGATTAGGGTGATAGAGTTTAAAGTTTAGGGTTTAGGGTTAGGGTACAAATAATAGATATTATTTTGTGTGTTGTGGATACTTGTTTTGGCTAGTTGTAATACTTGTTTCTGATATACAGATATTTATTCAAAATATTATGATTTGTTTCCGGGTGGTGTGGATTGTTATTTGAACCTGATGAAATATTCCCTTAGTTCATGTGTTTGGATATTTGTGTGAAACCTTTGAATATTATCAACTTCGGAAAACAATAATAGTTTTATTTTTTTATAGTTTAGTGATTAGGGTGATAGAGTTTAAAGTTTAGGGTTTAGGGTTAGGGTACAAATAGTAGATATTTGTTTGTGTGTTGTGGATATTTTTTGAAAAGATTTTAATACTTTTTACTAAGGAACTGATAGTTATTTTAAATAATTTCTCTGGGTTGTCTGGATGTTTGTCTGGGTTGTCTGGATATTTGTCTGGGTTGTCTGGATATTTAATTGAATCTGAGCAGCATGGTTTCAGGTTGTTTTCCCCGTAGTGAAACAACTGAAATGACAGGTACACCACGGATTCAACACAAAATACTCTACCACTAACTTTTCGGTACTGTTTTAGCGTTCTTGGTCACACATACAAATCCAAGTTCCCCGTGAAAGTTGAAACCGTTGCTTAATTACTGATTACTAGGATGAGTTCGTACTACATCACACATGCAAATCCAAATGAAATTCACAAACTGCCTTGCTCCATTCCATCGACGATAGCACAACATTCTCCGGGCTGATCTTACGGGGTAGTCAAAATTCCAACCGGTATTGTTAATGGTACCTACAACCGGCAACAAGTTTCAAGTCAAAGGAGGATATATAGTAACATAGAACAGAAAAAGGAATCAGCAAGTAGGTTGCAGAATCGTTCAAGGCGAAACATTGGATTGAATAATTTCACATTCAACAAGCATATATCTAGTCGAGTTGAACCTACTTACCCCACTTTGCTAATTATCCATGTTTGGCGAAACTAAGGTGTCCATATAGATCACAGGAGTACCATCGCGATCGGACAAGCCTCTCGATGCAGGGAACCTTATAGTGTTGTTCTTGGAATTGTAAATGAACAAATCTTCACCGTTATTCCAAAGAGCCTCACCACTGTCTGAAATGTAAAGTGGAGTGTATAACATTGCATCGACCACATGCAGCCTGATCAACACTAAACAACTTAGTCCAAGCATCTGTCACCCTAGGCTCTTTCATCACCCATACCTCACACGAACGGAAACCATCAAATTGCACAACACAAAGACGATCAACAAATGATTCTATGTCCAAACGAGTACCAGCGCCATGAAATTCAGGTAGTTTCACCTTGTTATATTTTTCTGTTGCAAGATCAAGTGAGACTAGGGTGTCCCTCTGGTTATTCCCTTCACTCTCAGAACTTGACACTCGATAGTAAAGACGGCCAGCAAAAAACTTTGCATCCGCCTCCGTATCTGATGGAACCCCATACTTAAAATTCTCGATTCTCCTCCATGACGAAGTTTTCAGAGCAAAGACTTGAACTTGAGTTTCAGCTGGATAGGAAATCACTACTACCACTTTGTAATCATCAAGATGACTATCATAACCAAATCCAAAATACGTGTCAGACATTTGCACCTGTTCCTCTGACATATCATAGGGGAAAGCGGGCAATGTCCTCATAACTCTGGAAGATGGGTTCCATACCGCCACCTGGTTGTAACGCCAGAGAAAAGAGCAAAGCAACCCATCGCATGACCCAACAACCCGATCCTCAAATTGACTGAATCCTTCAAACAAACCCCCAAGCTCGATGGGGTCGATCCGGGGGCCATTGTATAAAGACTTTACCGACCACGAGTGCAAACCCCAATCGAGGGGTTGGATTACCCGCTCGATGAAGTTGAAAGAACTCCTGAACAGCCTATCAACGCAATTCGGCTTGACATCCGACAACGCTTTCATACTTCTCAGATGTTCTTTCACGAAATCGGGACTGGAAATTAAGGTTTTGAACCATTTGGAGACGCACCTGAACCGGAGGAGCGAAGCCACAGGTAGCCAAATCAAAATCTTGACGATGAGATCCGGATGAAGCACAGGAAAAGGCCGTCGGCGTCGCGGCTGCTTTACCCTCGCCGCCGTGGTGTTTTCAACCGAAGGAGTCTCCATAATTTCGATCGGAGAAAGGGAAACGACAGTAAGGGAACCGCTATGAGCGGTTTATTTTACCCGTGGCTAGTTCTAGGCTTCTAGCTGGGCTTACTGGAATCAGGCTTTGAAAGAAACTGCCACACAAATCATTTGGACTCGGCCCACTACTCGGGTCTATAAGTCCAGCCAGTTCCCGTAATTGTAGAGAGAAAGAGAAAATTTCGGATTTAACAACACACCAAACCAAACCCAACTCCCTCGACCCAATAGTAAATATTAGTTTGTGTGTTGTGGATATTTTTTGAAAATATCTTAATACTTTTTACTAAGGAACTGATAGTTATTTTGAATAATTTGATATTTGTCTGGGTTGTCTGGATACTTGTCTTTCCTAGTCATAATACTTGTTTCTCACATACTGATATTTATTCAAAATATTTTGATTTGTTTCCTGGTTGTGTGGATATTTATTTGAACCTGATGAAATATTCTCTTAGTTCATGTGTTTGGATATTTGAATTGAATCTGAGGAAATATTAACTTAGTTCATGTGTTTGGATATATGTGTGGAACCTTAAAATATTCTCGGATTGGGCACATCTTGATAGTTTTATTGTTTTAGTGTTTAGTGATTAGGGTGATAGAGTTTAAAGTTTAGGGTTTAGGGTTAGGGTACAAATAGTGGATATTAGTTTGTGTGTTGTTGATACTTGTTTTTTCTAGTTGTAATACTTTTTACTAACAAAAATTTTGGCATAAGTTGTAATACTTGTGTGGATATTTTGGCATAAGTTCCAAAAATCATCTTACTGATCTTTTCTACTACGTCGACAGCGAGGCCGAGTTTGATGAGGGTTTAGAGTTCTGGTTTTCAATTTGTGAAAGATTGGAATATTGTGTCTTACATCAAATTAAACAAACTAGCAAGTCCTACACACTATCAAGTTCTAACATGTAAGGCTTGCAACCATAGTTAGGGCTGCCCGCTGAGGGCCCATAGGCCGAAGACCTATTAAATAATATTAGTTTTTATTGTTAGTGTTTGGATATTTGTGTGGAACCTTTGAATATTCTCAGGTTGGGAAAACAATAATAGTTTTATTTTTTTAGTGTTTTATTGATTAGGGTGATAGAGTTTAGGGTTTAGGGTTAGGGTACAAATAGTAGATATTAGTTTGTGTGTTTTGGATACTTGTCTTTCCTAGTTGCAATACTTGTTTCTGACATAGTGATATTTGTTTAAAATATTTTGATTTATTTCCGGGTTGTGTGGATATCCATTTGAACCTGGTGAAATATTCCCTTAGTTCATGTGTTTGGATATTTTTGTGGAACCTTTAATTTGAATATTCTCGGCTTGGGAAAACAACAATAGTTTTATTGTTTTAGTGTTTAGTGATTAGGGTGATAGAGTTTAAAGTTTAGGGTTTAGGGTTAGGGTACAAATAGTAGATATTAGTTTGTGTGTTGTGGATACTTGTCTCTCCTAGTTGTAATACTTGTTTCTGACATACTGATATTCATTCAAAATATTATGATTTTTTTCCGGGTTGTGTGGATATTTATTTGAACCAGAGTAAATATTCCCTTAGTTTATGTGTTTGGATATTTGTGTGGAACAAAATAATGATATTAGTTGGGGTGTTGTGGATATTTTTCAGTATTTGTTGTAATATGTTTTATTTATTTCTTGATGTTTTGTTGTATTATTGTGGTATTTGTTTGGGTTTCTTGGATATTTCTCTGTACCTAAAGAATATTCATTTATTTTTTGTGTTGGATATTTGTGTGGATTGTTGAGATACTATTCGTGGTGCCGTGGATACTTGTTATGGTGAATATCTTAGTATGGGTGGGCCCAAATCAGTTTTGGGTGGGCTTTTGGGTCTTTTCAACAAATTGGGGAAAGAATAGAAGTGATAGGGCAATTAATGCCACAACCACTTTTTCTCTCTCAACTCTCCCAACCCCTTCTTCTCTCTTCTTTTCTCTGAACTTCCTCTTCTTTTCTCCGACGGAAAAGTCGCCGGCGGCGGCCTGCCTCTTTTCTCTTCATCCTCCGGCGTCCAGGAAACGTTGCTGATGATGATCCATGATGAGGCCGAGTTAGATCGTCCATCAACGAGCTCGTCCCATGAAGAAGAAGAATTTGTTGATAGTGTATTAGAAGGTTTGACTCAAATAGATGGTGGTTGTGGGTTTGGCTTCGATGCTACAGTAAAAGAAGAAGAAGAAGAAGAAGAAGAAGGTGATTGTGGATTGACATATTTATAAGTTTGTGTTGTTGAGTTTTGGTTGGGAGCATTGAATGAAATTTAATGTCTTTGGTGTGAGTTTAATGTTTGTTGGTCTTCTGGGATTCTACTATGAGCTAGTTGGATACTTGTTACCTACTGTTTGTTGGACGTAGTTTGTATCCCATGTTTAATTTGTGTGGATACTAGTCTGGGCATATTTTATATTAATTGAAATATTATGGATACTAGTATGTTGGATTATAATACGGATACATATTTGGAGAAATGGGATACGATTTTAAGATTCATGGATACTACTTTTTATGGATATTTGTTACACGTATTCTGGGAATTACTCTGGGCGCATTGGATACTAACTGGCAATGGAAATATCTCGCAGCTCACAACACTTCGGACCTAGAAGATGATGAAGCGAGGAATAACATCTTTTTTCGCACTAAGGAAGAGTGTGTTCGTTTCTACGAACGCTATGCTCACAAAAAAGGGTTTGGTGTTCGAGTAGATTCGCAACATTTGAGAAAAAGGAAGAATTCTGAAGGAGAGGTGGTGGAAATTTATGCCTACCTTTATTATGTTTGTAATAAGCAAGGGTCAACGGAAGAAGTCAATGTTCAGAAACAGAAACATGGAGAGGATTCCGTTGTAGAGAGAAGTCGCCCTAAAAGAAAGAGGTCTCGAATTAGGGCTGAATGCCCCGCCCTTGTTCGTTTCCGATGGGATGAGAATAGGGATGGATATGTGGTGCACAATTTCATGGGAGCTCACAATCATGATTTGCAGCCCACCAAGCATTCTCATCTATTAAAGTCAAACAAGTCCGTGAGCGTTCCTCAAGGACTTGTTGCTGAAGCAAATCGCAATGCCGGGATGAGTCTTAGGTCATCGTATCAGCTATTGGCTGAGTGTGCCGGAGGGTATGAGAACTTGACTTTTACCAAATGTGATCAGAAGAACCATTTGAACAAGAATAGACAAAAGACTATGTCTCGTGGAGAAGCGACTTTCTTGCTTGACTACTTTCAAGACCAAAAGGAGAAGTATCCCAGCTTCTTTTATGCAGTAGAGGTAGATTGTGAGGAGAAAGTTGCCAATATTTTTTGGGCAGACAGTAGGATGCGTGAAGATTATGCACTTTTCGGAGACTCTGTCTCCTTCGACACCACCTTCCGAACCAATAAACACTTCCGGCCATTGGGTATGTTGACCACTTATTTTCCTTATTTTTTTGGACAACGCAAACGGTTATGCATTGTTTTTAATACCAAGTCTTTTGCAGGGATGTTTGTAGGTTTCAATCATCACCGACAAACTTGTTTGTTTGGCGCTTGTTTGTTATATGACAAGACAACTCCTTATTTTGAATGGTTGTTTGAAGCATTTAGTCGGTGCATGAAGAGGAAACTCCCAGTGACCATCTTCACAGATCAGGACGCCGCTATGGCAGTTGCCCTTAGAAAGGAGTGGCCAGATGTGTTTCATGCCCTCTGTACTTGGCACATCTTGATGAATGCGAAGAAGAATCTTCGTAAGAGCAAGAAATTTTGGCATAAGTTCCAAAATCATCTTGCTTATCTTTTCTACTACGTCGACAGCGAGGCCGAGTTTGATGAGGCATGGAGCAGCATGGTTTCGGATTGTTTTCCCGGTAGTGAAACTGTCGATGGCCACCAATGGATGCAATATTTGAAGAAATTTCGTCATCAATGGTGTTTCTTATATCCGAGAGATCAATTCACAGCGGGAATGTTGACAACGCAAGCCAGTGAGTCGTGCAATTCACAAGTGCGACTCTTCTTGAAACCGAAACATAATCTCGACGAGTTTTTCATTCACTTTACCGGGTACGTTATCCAAATACTAGATGGAAATTTATGGATATTACTTAGCCCCTTAAGAACATTTGTAGATTATTTTCTGGTATTTGTATGTGATGCTGGGATACATTTTTGTGTTGTTTGGATATTTGCTCTGTTTGTCAATGGATATTAGTATGGGCAATTTGGTTTTCTTCATACATGCAGTTTGTTGGTTGACAAAAGGCGCAAAGAGACTGAGTCCGACTATGATGCCTTACAATCAGCCCCTTACATAGTGTTGGAGAAAAGTTCCATCCTCCAACATGCTGCCATGATCTTCACGAAAAATATCTTCAACCGGATACAAGAGCAATATCTGGAAATTGAAGACTATCTAATTGAGCTTGTTCCAGATAATAGGGATGATGGCTTCATTAGCTACCGTACATATAAGATGGAGGATGATGAGCGTAGCGATGAACGTGTCATTCTTGTCGATACTTCTACGGCCACATTGGTATGCAATTGTAGGATGTTTAGAACATTCGGGGTCTTATGTCGGCATATGCTTAAGGTGATGCGATTTCTTGGAGAGTTTGGGAACGATAGTATGAGAACTATTCCAGATCATTACATACTCAAGCGATGGACGTTGGAGGCGAGAAGGAAAGAGGTTGGTGATGCTGATGCTTCAGGCGATACTTCACATAGTCATGAGAATGAGACGGGAAAAGGAGATATAGTAATGAGGTACCGA